ATACGAAGTGAATGGTAATGAATGTTGTAAATTCTTTTTTATCGAGAGGCTATAATAGCCATTTTCTTGTGTATTTTATTTAGAAGTGTGTATTAAAAATTGATGTTGCGGTTTCTAATTTACGTTGAAATGTAATAGGCATCTTTGTGCGTTGCAATCCAATATTTGACACCAAGTGGTTAGTTGCGAAAAGATTTTTGTAGGTTGAGTCTTAATTTACTGGAATGTGTTTTGATTGAATGTGGTGGATTGATAGTGGATCTTCAGTCATCGTACAGTCGCTATCCATGTAAATGTATTGTGGAGGGATGTTTCGGAGTGCTTTTAATTAATGGATGCAAATTATGTGTGATAAGTTGCATGTAAACAGTGCAGAGAATTAGGATTATGTTTCCACTCATCTTGGAAAAATATTTATGAAATGAATGTGGGAATTTTAATATAGACATCATAAAAGATAATTATACAATTAAAACAATTTATCTGGATAATTAAATTTCAATTGAATTAAATGAGAACTTCATCAAAAATTGAATTAAAAGTTAAAAGAATTTACTTAAAGGAGGTGAGTTATGAATTCAGGGTGAAATCGTCATATTCTAATTCACTGCACATAGTTTTATAAAAACAAGTATTACTTAAATTATTACGCACGTTTTCACAGTCTCCCATAATTCAGAATAATCCTGGCCTCGAGTTTCTTGTATTATAATTGAGGAGTTCGTGACAAAATCAATCTGTATTAAATCATTTAAATACAAACCGCGTCTATCTTCTCGAAAAAGATACTTCGATTCTGACTTTATTGTCTTAAGAACGTTTTCAATAATTATAAAATAAATCACTTCGTTCATAAATGAAAATAGTAAAGAGAATAAAAGGCACTGAATAGAAATAGTTATTTTTGTTAATCAAATTGCAGTACCATTTCTCTATTAATAATATTCAACCTTAATAACAATACACCGAGAATTAATATTAAATTCCTTTTTTTCAACAAACTATTATTATAAGAAAAATTGAAAGATAATTTTGAATTCAACTAGAAAACCTCTTCAAGTAAAAATTTAAATTTCTATAAAGAAATTCTTGTCAAGGTCTCCTTAATTAATTGTCGGACATCATTTGCAATATTGCAGATACACAGGGGCATCGGCATCAGTGCTAGAGTAGAAAACGAGGGAGCCAGTACACGCAAGGACAGCGGAAGCTCAGTCTCACAGCCTTGTTTCGGTAAGAATCGATCAGATCGCGAGAGCGCCTCCGATTAAATATATTCGTGGATTGGAAAAAAGGAAAAAATGGACCCGTGGCGATCTCGTTTCTCAATTGTTTGAGTTCCACGCAACGCGATCGCATTATTTAGATTTTATATCGGAAATACCTAGATCTGGCGATGTATTTGAATTTTACTGATGCCTTTACGTTGCGTTATTCATTTCTTTCATTTATACCATACAATTAATACATTTAGTTTTCATTGGGTCGTATGTATATAAAAAATTAATTTTTACAAGCGTTAAGCAAAAGTAAATGTTAGATTCCTTAATAATTGTACTCTATTAATTCCTTAATAATGTTAGGTTCCTGCGTCATCCTTTACCAATATCAGACAATAAATACTGAAAAATTTGAAGTAAATAAAAGATTTTAGCAGAGGTTATTATCAAAATAATTTTAATTAAAGCTATCAGCAGGAATTAAAAACGAGTGAAATTACAATAGTATTTACTTGCTTTTAGTAAATATTAAGAGTTATGCATACGAATTTTAAGTACCTATTGAAAAATTCAATAAATATTTCATTCTTTATGTTTAATGAATCAAGTATTTACTTACAAAATTGCTAATATAAGCTTACACTTCTTTTTACGCGTTCGATCCATTATTTTCAACCGTTTTTAACGGATTGAAACAAATGCAATCGCGTCGCTTGTGTCCTTTCGACAAGATTCCCCGAAAAATGGTACTCAAACGGTGAATCGTTCTCGGTTCCCCTCGTTTTCGGAACTTTAGACCGTGGTTGGGCTGCACGGAGTAGCTCACGGAATAATGTTAAACTCGGAAGTCTTCCGGAGACGTTCGTAAAACCGATTGGTCGAAAATATTATTCTAGAATCCGTTAGGGTACAAAGTATAGTTGCGAACGATTATCAGTAGATAATTGTAACGATAAAAATGGACATTGTCTTATCGTGGGATGGAATAGGCTGTGTAAGCTCCGTCAGTGCTGGATGCTCATCTGTAGTATCGAGATAAATCGAATTCAACGAATGAAACACGGAAAACAAGAGTCGAGAATAAACCGGGAAACAAAGAGCGAAAAGAGACGTGTCGAATGTCATAGATATTCAGATAAACTCCGTGGTTTCGGAATATTCTCGAAATCAGTCGCAGGTGTCCGATAGAAATAAAGGGAGAA